GTTTAGACTAATCAACATCTACTACTATCATATCCTCCTCCACGATGATGACATTGCCTGTGCTGTGATCGCTTTCACCCACCCCCATGGTACTCCCGTCACACGTGTGGCGCTGCGGATCTCCGTCGCGGGTACATCGATAGGCCTTAGCGATCCGCATGCAGCGGAATCGAGCGGCGACCCTTGTTCGTGCTACCTGGTGGGTGTTTTGCCAGACGTTGCGGGCGCTGGACTGGGTAGCTTCGAAGCTTGGCGGGCAGAGTGGAGACATGGCACTGCACCCCACGAATACGGCGCGCCGAATTGCAACCTCACCACAGCTCCACCACCAACCCAGCCGTCTCTTTGCAGCTAGATACTCTTCCGTACACAAGCCTCACCACCCACCATGGCCAACATCAACTGGCGGACCATCAACATCGACGCCTTGGACCCCGACAGCCCCGCCAACTTCGACCTAAGCTCCCTCGCTCCCGCCGTTGCGCCTGTCTCGACGGCCGATGTCCAGACCAACGCCCAGTCAATACGGCAGCTGCTACGGGGTGGTGACAATGAGGGCGCCCTCCAGAGTGCCTTAGAGAACCCCCCATATGGCGCAGACGACAAGGGAAAGGTACGTTGCGCCTCTGCATAGCTCAGACAGCTCCAGAAGCTCCAGAGACACCTCAGAGACACGACGCTCCCAGTCCAGCGGTTTGGATGTCTCTCCAGATATAGACACCTGGTCACATCACCACCGCGTCTCTGGACTTGGGCTACCGACGACCAGGTCGGCGACATTGCACCACCTAGGACCAAGCTGACAAGTCCACCACCACAGGAAGTCCACCTTTCGGTCGTCATCGAGATCCTACAATCCATACGCCAGTCAGACATGTCACCAATGCTCAGCCGGATATATGGTGCACCAGGTGGAACCGAAGCATTGGACGTCCTGATGAAGTACATGTACGTCCACCGTCTCGTTTGGGTCTCTCACAAGCCTCACCGCCCACCGACCTCTACTGCCCATCGTGCCTTCCCGCATCACCACGCGCCACCGTCGCACATCCAGAAACATAGACTAACGAAAGTACTCGCAGTTACAAAGGCATGGCACAGGGAGCACCGTCAGGCACCAAGCGCGACATCACCCCCCAACCGACCGGCTTCTCGCAGATTCATACTCGTGGCGGCGGCGAGGGTGGCGGCCAAGCCATGAGCGTACTGCTCAGCTGGCATGAGAAGGTACGACCCCACGCACCTTCCTCGTTATTTGAAACTTCCCGCCCACCGGGTCACATCCCACGCTCTCCCACACCACGTCTATTTTTTGTTTCGTCACTAACACACCTCAGCTTGTGGAGATAGCAGGCCCAGGTTCCATTTCTAGGGTTATGAGTGATCGCCGGACAGTTTGAAGTCGTGCTCGCAATTGCAACCACGGCGAAGCGTCATTTCCAAATAAACTCATGGCTGGCTAATCGCTAGCTCATCACCTCGATAGCGTTCAATCGATATGGACGCGCACACAATTAGGCCCAACGGCAAAAGCAGAACCCGAACAAATCAAGACACGTCCTATAGCCCACGGCTCCTTCTCCCGTCTTCCTGCCTAGATACTTCTGAACCCAAAAATTTCACAACAAGCATATCCTCCAGCGCGCAATATTGACCACGCAAGCCATCGCGATCTTTCGCAATTTTCCCTTCGTTCCCAATGACGCCGCAATCCATGTCCATGCACAACTCACCGCGCGCACAGACAACCAGCCTTCCCACCGGCCTTGCATCATTCCCCAAACCCTTCTTCAGCCCTACTTATCCCTCCCTTCGCAGACGCATCCTCATTTCGCGGACACGGGAACCGCTTTCACGCTAGCCCGCGTAACTTTGATTAAAGCGGCAAGCCCAGCGCAACGCCAACACTGCCCTATCGAACCGCGGCATAGCTTCCACGCGAAGTCTCGTGTTGTACTAGCGCAGTCTTCCCTTCCAGCCCGACGCTTTCCCACGCTAGCTTCCCAGATAGGAAAGTACCTAGGATGGGCGGGCAGGACGTGGTACGCTATACCTAGTAAAGACGCCGTTGGGTGCTGAAACACCGTTGGCACGGGTGGCGAGTGATGATCTCAATTCTTTGACAGACCGGCACCACTCGAAGTTTATAGGTGGGATTATTTGAAACGACGACGCGACGGGGAGGAAGTTTGTCATGGGCTTTATCGATTAGGCAGGCAGTGGGATGATGTGGTAGGTATGTTTTGTCACAGTTGTGTAGATGCAAGCTTTCGCTATGTAACACAGGAAACACGAACTGCATGTTTCGGTCGCGAGGACTTTGGTTTGGGTTGGAATGTCAGTTGCGCTGTTGCTGGTGCGGTGCAGTTGCTGGACTGGAATGCACGCGACTGGAATGACAGCTCCCAATCTGTTTGACGCGCGCGCGCTGAACAGGGCTTGGTTCGTTTGATGCGCGAACGTGTTTCTAGAAAGACGTCCCTGGAAGGGTACAAGGTGGGCTCGGGGGTTATGCGTAGGGCTGCGACATGTCATTACGCCGAGCTTGAGCGCTTTTCTCCGTACCCTCCCCCCGTCTTCCGTTTGTCATTATGACTTATGACCAAGCAAGGCAATCACACAGGAACCTTTTCATCGAGTTTCAAATTGCCATCGAAGAGATATTTGGAAAGTTAGGTTTATGATGGCAAATTCAGTACAGCTGTCAAATCTTGGGCGACAGGCGAGAAGATATGGGACAGGCAGGTAGGCTGGTAGACAGGCTGGTAGAGTTCCAGCGATTGAGATTGATTTGATTACAAGTACCCTTGGTACCTCGGTCCCACAATCGGCACATCACCGGCATTAACACCGTCGCGATCTCGCCTCCTCGGTACAATACAACAACAGCATCCATCCCATCTCCAACTATCTCCAATTCTGCCCCTCGTCTCATAATCTACGTCTCACATGACCACCCGCTCATGCAAACCCTTCAGCACCCAGGTTTAGTAACGTTGTAGTTTGGGATTCAGAACAAGCAAACCTGGCACCTTGTCTGCATTGAAATGCGATCGCTCGGCGCTGTCGCTGTCGCATGTTTACAGGGAACACGGGTTCGGAACCCACGTGGGAAATGTGTTGCAGTGGGGCTTATGTCAGACGACGTTCTTGGGTATGACATGCATGCAGATGGAGGGCCGTGTCGGGGCTGCCGAGGAAGAGGGTAGGTTGACGCGACGTTGGGTTTCAGAGTTGAGGAGGCTGACGGGGTGGGCGTCGGATCCGCTGTGATGATGCTGGAGGGGAGCGGAGCCGCAAGAGGCTGGTCTTTGTGTAGGTGAGTTTGTGTGCATGTATGAACAAGCCGGCGTCGTAGGCGTTGAAGCTTGGTGGTCGATATAGTTGCTCTTCGTAGACAGAACCTTTCTCAGACGTGAGGTTGAGGTGAGTTGTGGCGGTAAGCCGGACGGAGACCTAGGATAGTCTCTTCCTTTGCTGCAATGATGATGCCGATGGAGATGACGATATTTCTTGTTCTCTAGGTATTACAGATGAAGCGATGTTTGCCTACCGATGCCTGGCAGCACCGCTGCGAGTATCACAAACCACATTATCAAGAATCGAGGCTGGTTGTCGAGATCACACTTTTCCTACATCGCGTTGATTCACGGGGTTGTCTTACTAAGAGCTCCAATACTTTCCTCCCGAGGTTTCATTCTTGTTCTTCGCATGTTTCCCGTATTCGCATGCGCTTTCGCAACACTCTTGACTCTTACAACTCCTCTCGCATTCTCATCCTCTCACAGTCATGCTTTCTTTTTTCTTCTCATGACTCTCCCGTAGGCCAGGCTCATTACTACTGCTGACTCTTGCAACTTTCGCAATACACACGACTCCTGTTCTTTCGCCTCCATCCTCCAATCTCAGCATATCATTACTCGCGAAGCAACTGCGTCATGGGGTTGCTCGAGCATCTGGCACGAGTTTACCTTTTTTGCTCTTTCCACCCAAAACCTTGGTCTCCCCATTCCATTCCACATATACAACACTCCACGTCATCGTGGCTTCTACGCCACTATCTCTCGCTCCCTCCCGTCCTCCCGAGATCTCCCTCCTTCTTTTTTCCGTATCATTCTTATCGCTCGCAAGCCCTGTAAGCCTTCGCGTCACCGTGGCTTGCTGTGGCTTGAACTCTCACAGGGTCTCCTTTCTTTTTTCTTGCTTTTTTGCCGCATGGAAAGAAGGTGGGGTCGGAGAAGCGAGGATGGGTTTCATAATCTTCCTATGGGTGTGCACTGTTCCGTCGTTCCGGCAAAAGAAACGTCTTGGTGGCGTTGGGTTGGAATGAGGCTGGCACCGGGGATGAAGATGGTGGCGTGATGGGGGCTGAGAGAGGTGGAAGGGTATTTGGTGTTGGGGTAGGTGGTGTTTGGAAGACGTTGTATGGGTTGCTGGGTATGAGATAGCTACTGTAGACTAACTCTTGAGTCTAATGTTTCTAACAGCGCGCAGCTTATTAATAAGATATGCAGCGAGGACTTGAACGTGTAGGCTAACCGTGCACCCGCGACTCCAAGTAGCTGAGTAGCGATATAAGTAGACACTCTCTGCTGAAGCGATTGCTATACGTGGGTAGCATTGTCACCTTGTTGTACAACATGCCCACCTTTAGGCATCAACTCCAATCTTTCACGAAGAAGACAACATCACAGCATGTACATCCAGGATCGACATTTGACAACAGTGCTAACACGTCAGCCTAGAAAAAAAAACTGAACACCGTGGAGCCTACATTATGGTAAAAACATACAAAGTAGGTGGCACAAGGTCAACGTAGGCTCCAGGGTGTTCAGTTTTTTCCATTGTATGAGGTGCATCATCAACATAGCCAACGCAACGATCGAAGAATTACTATTATTCATTCTCATCCAAGTAAACAAAGCTACCAGGGTATCAATACTCCAATATCCCACTCATGCCTAAACGCCATCAAATACCGAAATACCTTCACCAAACTCTCATCTAGACTCCTGGGGGCTCAACGGCCTTTCGCTGATGAAGTCCTTGTTCTTGTTTAGTAACTCCTCGCTGCGTTGCCTAATCATCTCATCCCTATCCGGATCTCCTTCCTGTAGCATCCTCTGCACTGCGGCCCTATTCCGCTCTATAAGCGTCTCGATAGGCGTCTCCTCAACAAGGGTCTCTTCGACAGGACCATGCGCAGCATCGTGACGTCCCCACCTTCCGAGAGCAGGTGGGTCTGCGGGTCCGTCTCTGACAACGCTGATGTCTGTTTTGTGCTTCTTCTTCAGCTTGTTCAGCTCTGAATCCCGACGAGGAGTCCAAGGACCAGGACGACTGGACGGACCGCCACGGGAGGAAGGACCGGCATGGGAACTGTATGTGGGAGGAGCCGATCGGACTGGAGTTCCGTCTCTGTAAGCCGTGACGACAGAGGGCGACTTGCTTATGTTCTGCAATTCATGGTTTTGGTGAGGCGAGAGACCGGGACCAGCGGGGTCGGGACGAGAGAGGTCAGGACGGGAGTCGGCTGTGATGGTTTTACGAAGCCAATTCTATACGGCGTTGCCTTTCGGTTCGGGCTCTGCGCCATCTTGAGCGCCATCAAGATGGCGGGCATGTGCGGAGAAGACTCCGAGCTTGTCGATGTGGTTCAGCGAGTGCCAGAGGAGATACGTGCTAGACAAATGAGTCAGTAAGAGTTGTACGATAGCACCTCATACAAGGGAAAAACTGAACACCCTAGAGGCTACATCAAGAAGAAAACCTGCAAATTAGGTGGCCTAAAGTCGATGTAGGCTCCAGACCTGTCCAGGTTTTCCCTAGGTTGACGTGATAGGACCGATAGAGGTGACTTACCTGACAAAAGTGAAGATCATGCCCGGCCACAAGAATACAACACTAGCAATCGCCCGCCCATTCTTGTTGTAAGCGAGCGGAGTCTCGCCGGCCTTCTTGAACTGCGACAACAGGCCCTGTCCGCGCTCGAAGTCCGTGCCGGTTAGGTGCGCACTCTTGCTCGCGGTGATGTAAGTGTATGCAAGGGCGTCGGAGAGCGTAAGCATGCAAGCAAAGACTGAGCAAGCTTTCCAAGCGTTGATGACGCCTCTCGACTCTTGTCGCTCGGGCCAGAAGAGATCGAAGAAGAAGGCGGCACCGAAAATGGTGGCGACGAAGATACCAACGAAGATGTTGTACGATGCGATGCCGACGAAGTTGTTGTTGTGGATCATGACGTTGCGGTCGAGCTTTGAGACGAACTTTTGCTGGTCGACGTAGTCTGCTGATGTTAGATGATGTTCAAGTTGGAAGATAGCAGACGGCTGTCGTCGCCACCATGAGCAGAGATGGAGAGAGATGCCATACCAGATAGCGCAGCGGTTCCCAGACTCTCACTGACAACGCAGAGAATCATGGCGAGTTGGTAGATGATGAACTTTGTGCGACGGTTGTGGTACGTGTTGTTCCACATGTAGCCGGACTTGAACTTGCCCCATTGCATCTCCTTCATGTCGAGACCCCAGATTACCGCCATCGTGACTGAATATGGATGCTAGTAATGAGATGGAAGATGGGGTTGTCTAACGAAGTGCGCGATAAGTTGGCTGGAGAGAAGGATGGCAAGTGAAGCGCGGGAAGCCCGGATAGAATACACTTCCGACGTATTGGTCGCGATAGCCAGGAAACTTGTCTGTAAGGTAAGCACCGCGCGAGTATCGAGCCTCCCCGAGGTCCCACGGGCAGTTGCATACTTAAGGGTCCTCTTTCCTGGCCACTCCACACCACCTACGTCGCGCCTCCACCCTCTCCGTCAGCCATCACCGACGCAATCGAAATCTTTCAATGTTAAATCCGTCTCCAGACCCGCCCAGTCCACAAGGGAAACAAGCACCCGCCAACCGTCGCGGTGCTAGCGTCGATCCTACGCCATCGTTGCTTCGCTGAAGCTTATCACTTCCACGCGCAGCCCCAGACCCACGAATGACAGCGCGAAAGCAGTATTAATCAGCGTCTCGGCTGGGGTCGGCGAAAAGATCACGATGGGAAAGTTGAAAGGTGATTGGAAATGTGGTTGGGAGGAGGGTGGGTGCGACGTCATCGAACGGGATGTCGGTGGGGACTTGCTTAGCGAGAATGCTTAGTGCACGGGTGGGGCGTTCACGTCATTTGTTGGGCTTTCTGCACGCAAGGGGCTTGATGTCACACGATTTTGAAGGATATGAGTGCGGTAGATATGTCCGCTGTTTGGACGTCATGTACGTCACAGCAGGACTACTGCTCGAGCAGAGTCAGTTCCTTCGAGGCATATGAGCTGTGAGTCTACCCACGGACAGTACCTAGGTATTTTCTCGAGTGTCTTGTCTGATCCGGGTTCCATAGCCACAAAACCCAGATCTAACTTTGTGGTATAGGCCTCACCCGACAACTAGACCTCTGTGACATAGCCGACAACGCCTCTCTCCACCCCACTCATCTATGCGCTCCCCATAACAAGAGCTCTGTTATCTTGGAAGATTTCGTGTAGATATATCTTATTCCTCCGCCCATCGTCCAGAACCGAACTTCGAAGTCTCAGAGATCGGGATGAAGCTGTGCCTGGGGCTGGGGCTGGGGCCGGATTGGGGACGTCTTTGACCCTGAACAACAAGTGTACACCAACTCTCAAATGCCTGGGATAATTGTTTCTGAAGATCACAATTTCAGTGACATGCTTGGTACCCAGTTCTGCCTTATGTTGGAAAAGCAAGAAAGCGAGCGTGCGACCCAATGGAGAGCCTGGGGTGTGTCAGCGTCGTTACCACCCACAACCCTTGGATATCGTATGGGAGTAGGCCAGGACTGGTTCCGTCCTGTTTGCTCCTGGGCAATGTAAGGCGCTCAAGACTACTCACCAAGTAACGCCGGGCCTTCCTCGTCGTACATGTTGGCTATCACACCAGGCCAGTACGGTACCTCTTTGAGACCATGGTTCTTCAACACTCTGTTGATGAGAGCGAGAGTCATTGTATTCTTGATGGTGAGCACAAGATAGTACTTGAGGCTTTTGGGGTCAATATTGCCGCGAAGCCAGTACGCCATCATGATGTCCGAGGCACGCTTGAGCTCCGGGAGGCTAGCTTCTGCTGGGCTGTCATCCCAATTTGCCAGTGCTGCTGTTCTAGGGTTGAGGAAGTCGAGACCAATGATCACTTTGAGCTGTTAGTATGTCTCCCAGTATGGTGTGCGTGAGTAGAGCCGGTAGCGCACGAAGGTGAGTCTACGTCCACTCGAAGATACTTACGTCCGCCTCGTTGGTTGATACCGAATCGAACATGCGCACCGGTACACCGCTCCCAAACACCATTGATGTCGTAGTACTGGTCTTGCGCCGCAAGAGTGTCTCCATCGTCATCTTCGGCGCGCTCGTTGTAGTGTTCTATGCTGTGTCACACATTATCTCCGCCTTTTGTATGGGGCCTGGAATTGATACCAAGATCCTGGAACATAGTTCCTATAAAAGGTCAGTATCTATCAAGAACGATATCCAACCCTGAAGACTTTCAAGGAGGAATAGGAATGAACGCCCTCGCGCAATCGACGTACCGACCTTGTTGACATGGTAATCTTCGTTATCATCGGCAAATTGGCAATGCGATTTCTGGTCATATTCGCCAGTAAACCAACCCCAGAGACTTATCTCACTTGTGAGTGCGGCATTGGGCCATTGATTGCGTGCGGAAGGCGGTGTTCGTGTGTCCATATTTAGTCTACCAGCAGCTTCGTCCGTGGCTTCGAGTCGACATATCAAATCATCTCCCTTCTGGCGGGCTGCAGCCCATTCTGCGTCATCCGCGACCTTCTCAGATTCCCATAGGACGTGTACCTTGGTAGGCTCATCGCTGGCTATATCTTGGGTAAGAGCGATCGAAGCCACGACAGCTATGAGCGTTGAAGAGAGTCTCATGGTGGGCTGAGCAGAAAGCCCAGGTGATTTTGAATAGAATTTAGTAGCTTGAAAAGAGATATCGGAGTTTTTAGCGATGTGTGTTGAGCCAGAGTGGGGCAGCAAACAACCGCCATTCCTCTCACTAGAGATTGCAACATGACAAGGGAGATAGATAAGGAAACTGAAATTCTAGGGTATCGTGGCTTCCCAGTAGACACCAGCGCCACGCAGATTCAGACCAGCCGCCCATACCCATATCGTACATCCAAACGCATAATAGCCAGTCGTTCTAACATCTCAACGAACCTCTTATTCAATCATCCTTCTCATCATCATCGTCATCATCCCCCTTCCCAGGCACAGTCTCCATCTCCACCTCGCCCTGCACCTTGCCCTTTCCATCCTTCTGCACAATGCGATACTTGCCGCCCTCCCAAAGATCTTTGAACGTAAGTTCCTTGGTCCTGCCGAGACTCTCAATCGCACCGATACGCTCGAGTGTCGCTTCGAGGAAGTCTTCGAACCCAGGCTCGGCGCAGATCTCGTTGAAGGCACGTTGCATGGGTACGGAGTCGGCGCGAACAACGGCGTGCGAGTCGATGGAGAAGATGGAGAGGTCATGGTGCTGGCGGATGAAGTCGGAACGCGTCATGATGAAGCGGGCGCGGTGGAGGGGGAAGGAAGGCAGGATGTGGCCTTCTTTTGGGTCGTAGGTTGATTCCATGTCGTGGTAAAGTTTGTAGAGGGCGTTGGCTAGGACCATGGCTGTGGACTGTGGGGGTTAGTCAAAGTGATCGAGAGAAAGATTAATGTATACGTACAGCGTATTTCTGCTGGTCCATGACATCGTCGTCCATCTCCTCGCCGAGAATCGCGCAGTTGTTTAGGAACCAGATCTTTTCCATTTCGCAGATGCTGTTGCATTTTGCGACCATGTCTTCCGACTTGGCGACGCGGTTGAGGAAGGTTAGGCGTCCGCCGACTTTGTCGTATACTTCTTCGAGAATGGAGTCTTTTACCTTTTCGCCGTAGTACTTCATGCGGTAGTTGCGTAAGGCTTGCATGGCGCGATCTTTGCTCAGGTCCTTGATCTGATGCACTTCCATGCGTGTAGCGTACTGCTTCAATCTTTCAAACACCCAGTACTTGTCCGAGTTGATGATGACGGTTGCGAGGTTGGCGGCTGCCCACTGCTCCGCTCGCTGTTGTATGAGTTCCAGAAGGTCTCTACCGTCGTCGTTGTCTCGAATCAGATGTGCGGAGTTGATGATGAGAATGAGCGGTCTGCCAACAGTCGCGCGTCGCCGCAAAGCCACTTTTTCGAGCTTGTTGAACGCGCGCTCAATGTCAAGGATGGCGCCTGCATCGCGAGGCCCACGAATAGAAAACAGCGATCCGATGTTGTCCTCGTGGTACTCAAAGTCGAGACAGCGACCTAGCCGTACACGGAAGACTTCGAGATCTGCATGGGCTTCCATCATCGAACATCCCTCACCATTAATCTTATCCATGGCGTCGATGAGCATGGAAGTCTTCCCAGTCCCTTTCTCGCCGAGAAGCAGATGGTAGCGTCCTTTCGTCTCTCCCCAGACAATCTTGTCAATCCTTTCCTGCTCATCACGTGGGATCCAGCGATCATAGTCTTTATCATCACCGTCCAGGTCCTTGCTGACTTGTAGTCGAGTAGGCTCACCCGCTTTCGGCATCTCCTTTCCAGTAGCTGCAAGCTCTAATACAGGATCGCCTTCCCGAAAAGCGTTCTCCATCTTTTCAAGCACGTTCCATTTGTAGTACTTAGTATAACCAATGCCGACGCATCCAAGGATGAAGATGCTGGCTCCGGTAGTAGCAGCAGCCTCAAACATCTTCCAGGCTGTGCTTTTCCATTCTGCCTTCTTTTTCTCGCGTTTCTCCTCTTGCTGCTCTTCCTCTTCCTCCAGACGCTCTGCAGCGTCGTCAATGGGGTTTGGCGCATCGTTGCCAGGAGTCGGAGGACCGGATTGGCCACTCAGAGCGCGCGCCAAAGAGGGCTGGCATAACCTTGTTCTTTGCAGTATCGGGCCAGCCTGCTGAGACCGATACGCGAAAGGTTGTCGTGTCAACGCGGCATGAGCGCGCGTGATGTGTCGTAGCATTAACATTATTGCGCTGGCGCGTTCCAAGTCACGTTGGTGTCGCGTGCTTTCCAATGTTACACGTGTCAAACGTAGGCGCAGCCAGAGGTTCAACAGACGTGGAGTGGACTAGGAAAGGAATGAATGAGAGTTAAACGAGAGACAGACGCGTGAAAGGAGAGATGATTGAGATGGACGGGACGAGATTGGAGGAGAGGGACGCCAAAGGAGGTACCGCGGCCTTGTTACGCTGGTGTTGCGATAATTTGCCGCAGGGGCCAAGTGCGAGTGCCAAGTGCGAACGGCAGGAGCGACCGTGGTGACAGCATGGTGGAACTCGCGTCAATCACCATATCGATAACCGACGTGAAGACAGACACGGCGTGTAGGACATGGGAATTCCAGTACTCCGGAGTCAACGCGATATTGCTGACCCCGGTGCATGGGGGCCGTTTTCCCGATGACATGCCTGTGGCCTCGGAAGTGGAGAGCGAGCTTAGCGGACCATCCCGGCGCCCTCAAGAAAAATATTCTGGAGACATGACCGGAGAGTCACCTCTCTCCCCATCACTCGCCGCATGTCATTGTACATTAATGCGCCTGTCCTGTATATCTCCTTCCTTCCCTAGACCGATTCCCTCTTTCCCCAGTCGTTCTTTCCCGGCGTCGTAGTGTTTCTCGACATATCCACAGCCCGCCATCATGGCCGCTAGTACCAATGACGCTTCCAAGTCTGGTGAGCTTCCCGCCCGCACACGACTGCGATGGAAATTTATTCCCAGGCGCAATAACTCTTTTTGCACCCCATGGCTAACACCAATGGCAATGCAGAGGTCGAGAAGACGCCCAGCAAAGACGTCACCACCGAGGGGCAGAATGAGGGCACAGAGGAAGATGGCGCTGGCCAGCAGCCAGACAGTATGTCAATTGACTTACTATATGTATAACATCTATACTAATGTCTGCAGATATCTTCCAGGTCACCATCAAGCTCCCACACGAGCCGTTCGAGATGCCGATAACGGTGCGTATTGAGAATTAGAAAAGAAAATATAGACGACAAACTCACGACTCCAGATCTCAACGGCCGAGCAGGTGCAAGACCTCCGTCAGAGCATCATCGAGACGCCCCACACGTTCCAGTACTCGTGCTTCCACCTGGAGCACGACGGCAAGCGGATCAACGATTACGTCGAACTCTCTGAAGTCGAGGGACTGAAGGCCGATTCGGTACTCACCCTGGTGGAGGACCCATACACAGAGAAGGAGGCGCGGTTACACGTGGTCCGCGTACGCGAGCTCATCGGCGCCGCCGGTGACCGTACCGATGCGCTGCACGGCATCATGGCTGGACTGTCACTGCACGACACCGTCGGCCACGAGCAGATCTCCAAGCCCAAGCAGGACGGCCCGGAGCAGTCGCCATTGGCAGACTACGACTTCAAGGCATCGGGCAACATCAAGAACCTGCTGCCGCCCACCGAGGAAGCCGCGCCCAAGACGATCAAATCCATCGCCGTATCGCCCTGGAATCCCCCGCCATACCACCTCCGCTCCAAGGGCCACCTGCTGTATTTGGTAGTCACGACCAACGAGAACGAGCAACACCACATCACAGCTCACGTCTCTGGCTTCTACGTCAACAAGTCGTCGAATGCCAGCTTCGACCCCTTCCCGCGCCAGCCACCAAAGGACAAGCAGGCACACTCGCTCCTCACCCTCCTCGAGGACCTGTCGCCATCTTTCCGCACTTCGTTCCAGGAGCTGCTGGAGCACAATGCGAAGAAGGAGCTGCTTACTATCTTCCAGCTCTCCAACGCCATCCCCGCCAACCCATGGTTGGTCCCCGCACCCACGTCATCCCTCACCCCACACCAGCCGGATCTCGCGCGGACACAGGAGAGCTATCTGATCTCGGGTGTTGAGAACACCGAGACCCTCCGCGACTGGAATGAGGAGTTCCAGTCGACGAGGGAGATGCCCAAGGAGGCTGTCCACGACCGCGTCTTCCGCGAGCGCCTCACATCGAAGCTGTTTGCCGATTACAACGACGCTGCGACTCGTGGTGCCATGTTGGTAGCCCGGGGCGAGATTGCGCCTCTCAACCCTACCGAGGCCAAGGACGCGCAGATCTTCGTGTACAACAACATCTTCTACTCCTTCGGCGCTGATGGCGTCGGCACATTCGGAGCTGAGGGTGGTGATGAGGCTGCGCGCGTGGCTGTGGGCAAGGACGTTTTCGGTGTCCGCGCTGTGAACAACCTCGACATCAACAACCTCTTCACCTCCGGAACCGTCGTCGTCGACTACCAAGGAAAGCGCATTGTTGGCCAGAGCATAGTGCCCGGAATCTTCAAGCAGCGCGACCCCGGCGAGCACCAGATCGATTACGGTGCGGTTGAGGGCAAGGAGATTGTCGCCGATGACAAGTCGTTCGTCCCGTTGTTCGAGCAGCTCTCCAAGGCGCTGCGCGTCAAGAAGCATCCTGTATGGGACAAGGACAATGTCCGTCACGAGCTTGAGGGAAGTGTTGAGACTAAGGGTCTGATCGGCACCGACGGCAGGCGGTACGCTCTGGACCTCTACCGCCTCACGCCTCTCGACGTTGCCTGGATAGAGGCACACTGGACCGAGCCCAGCAAGGAGGGTGAGAAGGAGGCAACAGACAAGGACTACCCCCACCGCATGACAACACTCCGCCCTGAGCTCGTGGAGTCGTACGGCAGGGTCAAGCTCCGCGAGTACGTCAAGGAGCAGATGGCCAAGAAGACCACAAAGAAGGACGAAGCCCCTGCGAAGGAAGCCAAGGCCGAAGAGAGCTCATCTGAAGAGGAATCTTCGGAAGAGGAGTCTTCTGAGGAGGAGTCTTCTTCGGAAGAGGAGGACTCTGATGAAGAGAAGGAGAAGATGCCCAAAGCCAAGAAAATCTCCAAGGCGGAGAGGAAGGCCGCGGAGAAGGCTGCCAAGGTTGCAAAGAAGGAGACCGAGGAGAAGAAGCCTGAGGCCGAGGACCCTGAACAGGAGCGTGTCGACATTTCCGGATTCTCCTTCGCGCTCAACCCTGATGTCTTCTCGGGCCAGAACCCGCAATCCGAGGAGGACAAGAAGGAGTGGGCTCAGGACGAGGCTGAGGTCCGCGCTGCTTGCGAGCACCTCACCTCGGAGGTCATTCCTCGCATGGTCCAGGAGCTCAAGGAGGGCGAAGTCGGTTTCCCAATGGACGGTCAGTCCCTGAGCAACCTTCTGCACAAGCGGGGTGTGAACATGCGCTACCTTGGAAAGCTTGCTGAGCTGGCTGACAAGCCTGACCCAAGGCTTCAGGCCTTGAAGCGTCTCATCATCCAGGAGATGATCGCACGTGGTTTCAAGCACTTTGCCAACTCCAAGCTGCGCAACGTTTCCGCGCCTTTCGCAGCACCAGCAGCCGCCCACCTGCTCAACTGCTTGCTCGGTGCCGATGTTAGTGCTAAGCCTGTGGCTGAGTGCGACAGCAGCCTCAAGAAGATGTACCCCGAAGATGACTTTAGCTTCGAGAAGCTCACACCTGAGGCCCTCAAGAAGGAGGTCGTAGCTCAGGTTGCCCTACGATTCCGCTACGACCTCGGTCAGTCGTGGATCGAGTCTGGCAAGGAGATGCAGATGCTCCGTGAGGTTTCCCTCAAGCTTGGTCTCCAGTTGGAGTGCAAGTCGTACGCCTTCACCAAGGAGGCCTTTGCCGCCAGCCAGCCGGCTGAGAAGCCCGCTGCGCCGCAGACTAACGGCCACTCCACATCTTCCAAGAAGAAGAAGAACAAGTCCATCAGCACGCCGCCAGCCCGCACGGCTAGCCCCACTGTCCCCCTTGCTCCACAAACCTTCCATGCGGATGACATTCTGAACATCGTCCCTGTCATCAAGGAGGCTTCACCAAAGAGCTTGTTGGCTGAGGAGGCACTGGAGGCTGGTCGCATGTCCATTGCCCAGGACCAGAAGGAGCTTGGACAGGAACTGCTGCTAGAATCTCTCCAGCTGCACGAGCAGATCTATGGTGTGCTGCACCCTGAGGTAGCTAAGGCTTACCACACCCTGTCGAACCTGCTCTACAGCCTTGACGACAAGGTCTCTGCTCTTGAGCTTGCACACAAGGCTATCATTGTGTCGGAGCGAACTTTGGGTGTCGACCACTCGGAGACCGTGCTTGCCTACCTCAACGTTGGTCTGTTTGAGCATGGCTCGGGTAACACCACAGCCGCTCTGATCTACGTCCGCCACGCACTCGAGCTCTGGAAGATCCTCTACGGACCCGACCACCCCGACTCCATCACAACCCTCAACAACGCCGCTGTCATGCTGCAGGCCGCGAAGATGTACCATGAGTCGCGACTCTGGTTCGAGGCTTCGCTCGCCGTCTGCGAGGAGGTCTGCGGCAAGAACTCCATCAACACAGCGACTCTGCTGTTCCAGACCGCCCAGGCTCTCGCTCTCGACAAGGACATGCGCGGTGGTGTCAACCGCATGCGTGAGTCTTACAACATCTTCAAGGAGGTGCTCGGTGCGGAGGACCGCAACACCAAGGAGGCGGAGAGCTGGCTTGAGCAGCTCACCCACAGCGCTGTCTCTCAGGCCAAGCAGCTCAACGACCTCGCCAAGACACGTATCCGCCGCATGCAGCTTCCCGGACGCAACCCCCTGCGCCCGGCCGCCGCCACACCCTCCGCTAGTGATGCGGCTGCCGCCGCCGGTAGCCAGCGCATTGGAAACGGCCGCGTCGACCAGCGCAAGATTGAGGACCTCCTCAAGTACATTGAGGGAGACGCGCAGAAGACACCGTCGAAGAAGAAGCCGACAAACCCCAGGAAGCGTTAAACTTGCTATGTCATGTTTTTGACGTTGTCTCATATTGTTACGAAGCTACGCCAAAAGTATACATACCACAAAAAGTGCTGTTGTTTGCGCGATAACGATCTGTATCATACCTGCAGAGCATCTTAGCAGCAGCTTTTACGAATATGATGCGCTTTCTCCTTTGATTCATGGGAATCTGGCTTTTTGGTATGGCTTCGGCTTGCATTCTTTGGAGTTTTTGGGTTGGATGGGCAACAACTGGGGGAGGTGAGATGGATGGGCATGTACTTTACGCATACCGACGACACCAAAACGCGCTCGCTGTATATCTAGATAGACCAGGGCGGATGGCTCAAGGGAACAAAATATATGTCGGATGTACATGGACTGTATGGTATGGTAAATAAGGAAGGGGTGGGGTGGATGGAAGGATCGAATAGGGAAGGAATATGGACGACGAGACGAATAGATGTACTCAATACCAATGCAAGAATATCTCCTCTTCATTCACATCACAACTACTCCATGGAGGTATCAAGCCGACGCCTAGAGGTAAAGACGCTACGAAGATTGGTAGACTACCCGAGACATCGATGGAACTTCCAGAAATGGGACCGCACGGGTGAGCGGCTTCACGTACAGAGTTAGCACAACCTCCTACTCTTATACACTCGCAGCTGATACATACAGGCCATCTCTTCTTCCTCTACCGCATGACACTAGCAAAAATATCGCTCAAAATGCGCTAGAATCTCAAAAGTGCGAGTGAAAGTGAGTTCTCAGCTCCTCGCTTGTTGCTCTGCGTTTGTCAAATTTGAAAATTTCACCCACTTCAATTTCCATCTTACGCTGGTCCTGCTCCTTCCTTCCCTGAAGACAGCTTTTAATACTTCAGTCACCAGCTTCTTGTCGCTGTCCCTTCGCCTGCTTACCTTCATCCGCTCTCCTTCGCCCCGACACCGACCGCCGCCATGACTGACCCCAGCGCGACTTCAGAGGAAGACGCTAGAAGGGCACGCATAGAGAAACGTACGTACTTCGAGCATTTCCGGTACTGAGGTGGCTGTGCTAACTCAATGTCCAGATCGCGATGTGGTCGACATGCTGGCCAAGGGCATGACGAACGTCAATCTGCGATCGAGTGAAGAGTGGGGTGCTCTTGTACGCGATAACCAGACAAAGGCCGCCGAAGAGCTCAAGAAAGAGAGGGAAGCGTGCGACACCAAGACCGAGAAGATGAGAGCCGACTGCGATACCAAGATCGAGAAGATGAGAGTAGAGGTTAAGGAGGCCCAGAGTACGTCAACCTGGAACTCAAACAACATCTTCAAGATGGAGGTCAACAAGGCCGCCGTTGAAAAGCGACTGGAGACTCAGGACGCGGAAGTCAAGCGCCTGCAGACATTCGCAGACTCGAGCGCTGAGAACAACATGCTCAAGTCGACTATAGAGAAGCTGCAAGCTCAGCTCGATGCCGCGACCGCAACGTCCTCGAAAGAGGCAGCTGAACTTCAGACGGAGGCTGCCATCAATCTTGCGATGTCTGCAGCAACACGCGAAGCTGAGAGCGCGCGTGAGATGTTACAAAAGACGGAAGACAACAAAGCCTCTGAGCTCGATGCCCGCGATAAGACTATCGCGGCCCTCGAGGACTGGATCGCCGCAGACAAGGTCACTTTGAGTCATCTGCGCGAAACCATGCGAGACTACCGTCTGCAGCTTCACGAGAGGAAAACTATCATTGACCAGCGATCCGCCGCCATGGAAAAGCTGACCGAGGCCTACGATATGGTCACGACTACGAACAGCAACCTCTGCCAACAGCTCCACGAAGCTTACCTTCTCGCGAAGACGAACATGAAAGGGATACGTTAACCTGATGAGAAAGGACACCCTAGAGCCTACGTTGACGTTAGGTTATTAACTTTGCGGGTTTTTATCTTGATGTAGTCTGCAGACCTGTTCAGTCTTTTTCGTGTATGGAGTGGTGAGATGTATGTAAGAAGAACAAGGACGTTGATATCACCATGAGTGTTGTACATCAGATCTTACGTGATTCACGGTGTCGTCAAAAGAGTTCAAGGCTAATTACAGCATTTTTGTATCCTACAAACAGCTCGTGGCTATATTGAGTATCTCTAAGCCACCCCAGTTTTCATGATAGTACCAGCGCCGACCTGTCGCGGCTCGCACCCTACTTCTTCTGAAGCTCTGCTTCGAGCTTTGCATTGCGCTCTCGAAGGTCCTTGACGGTCTCGCGGAGATCTTCTGCAGCCACCATTTGTATACCGACGGTGTCTTTGAGGGCGTCGATGGTGCCTTTGAGCGCATCAATCTCGGGCTTCTTGTCGTTGGTGTCCGCCTTCTTGTCGGCGAGCACGTCCGCACATGTCGCTTCCGCGTCTGGCTGGGCGGACTTGCTGAGGAAGTCGGCTTCCTTGGTCGCTGTCTTTTGGAGCGCCGCAAGACTCCAGGTCTTCTCTTGGAAGGCACGTTCCGGAATCGCGTGATCTTGATTGAGTCTGCCGAGGTTGAACTCGTGGTCCTTCTTTGCGGCTTCAGACTCGAGCGCGTGTTCTTTCTTCATCTCTGCGATCGTGGTCTCGTAGCCTTCCCTCACCTCCTTGAGCAGCCAATCGCCGTGTTTTTCCTCTTGCCTGACCAAGACCTCGTAGTGCTTGATGGTTTTCTCGAGCTTGGACTTCGATTCGTTCTCCAGGTGAGCAATCTTGGCCTCGTAGTTCTCGGCGAGGTCGTGGAGCTTGGTCTCGGATTTCTTCTTGATCTCAACGACATCATGGTTGATGAAGTCCCTCACGTGTTCGATCTCGATCTCTTGGAGTTTTTCCTTTTCGCTGAGCTTGGCCTCGTAGTCCTTGATGGTGTTCTCGAAGTTGGCCTGGTACACTTTGCTCATGTCGGCGATCCTGGCCTCGTAGTCGGCCTTCTGCGCCTCGAGCTTCTCAGCGGCTTCCGAATCGATAGGGCGCGGTTTGTGAAACGGATTACTAGACACGTTCGACGCGGGACCCATGAAGTTATGTTGTTTCTCAACTACCATCTCTGGGTGCATAGTCAGCAAGGGTAGTGTAGATGGTAAGGAGAGGGCGCGCACTTATTGTTTGCTGGAGTGGGCTGCTTTGCAGAGACTTGGAAACCACCAGGAATGAGTATATTTCCACGACGTGTATAGATTGGTTGAGACATTGCAGCTGCGAGATGAGTGAGATGCAGTTGAGGAAGGAGCGGTTGAGTGAGAAGCGGTTGTGCAAACGGTCGTGGAGCGGTCGCGAGTAGTCAGTTGCTCGGAACGCGTTTTCTCCGGAATGACAGTGAATGGTTGGGGTGTAGAGAAACCCCGGACAGAGGGCGTTCAAGAGCGCGCTAAAGTACTCTGGATTCATCGGAGTTAATCGGGACTTTCTACCGCACATCGTACACAGAGGAGAGTATCTCTGAGGTTTTCAGTTTCATTCGACAGCTATACACATCCCCCGTCATCGGCATCCACACTCCATCGCCTACTGGGTACTCAAGACACAAGCCTCTCTCTAGGGACAGACGGCTCATCAGACAGCAGACGGGGAGTGAAACCCAATTTGTTATCTCCCAAATATGTACAACAGCCATTGTACAAAGAAAGAGCGATTTTTGTAAACTCTTCATTCGTGTGCAATTGAGTGTCCATATCAGGGGCCAACCCAACCGGCACCTTGGTTTCTGGATCTACGAGCAATAAGTCTTGTCCGAAAGGTTCCCTACCGGCGGATGGGAGGTGTTGGCCGACACAAAGTAAGTAAAGAGGGTCTTGTCTTTGATGTTTAGGCTGACGTGCGTGCTTAGCCAAGAGACCGACGGAAAGAAGATCTTCGCTGTGGTGGATGTAGATGGGGACGAAGAGCTTGTTGACCCACGCAGCGGCAGATAACGGAATGCGACAATTGACCATGGCAGCGAGGAGGAGCACGGTACGTAGTAATGGTACTGACCAGACACCCTGCATCCGTCGCTTGAAGGAGGCCAAATGTGCTCGCGGCGCTTCATTCATCTGATCCACCATATGTGTGGTAAATGTGTAGTCTAGTATCTTCCTGGCCTGCACGAAGAGTGGTACGTACTCGCCAGCCTCGTACATGCGCGCCTCTTGCTCAGTCTCGTCAAAGTTACTGGGATCCGCTACGCTCTCGTCTTCCATGAAGCCCAGTCCGGGGGCGATGCGTATCCGAGAGTGGTCTCCATCGTCGGGTACTCGTGTCGCATCCTCTGGATATGTGTGAATCCAGCCACAGCTGGCGGCATCGGCGTGTTTGAGCGTCCATGAATAATCAGGGTGATCCCCAAACCCGAACCTTGAAAGCTCACTACCTTGCAGAGACTCCTGCCATTGTATTTGGAAATGTTCGAAACAGGCTTCTAGCCGGGAGATGAAAATGTCTGGCGAGCATTCGCTTTCTAGCTCCATGATCTGCACATCCGATGTAATGTGCACGTGAGGTGAAGAAGCATTTGAAGCCTCGGGTACGCGTTTTCCCATCAGTTTGAGGAAATCGCCGAGCATTGTCGGACTTGGAAGATGTTGGCTTGGTAGCCAGCCGTCAATAGAATCTGTGCAGGTGAGATCAAGCATTGACCGAGTGAACCTGCATGTAAAAGCATGTCCAGATCGTTGAGCTTGCTGATACAGATCCAAATAAATTTCCCCAAATGACATCGATAAAGCATCTTTCTTCGGATATGTATACCATGGAAAAGAGGGCATGGTTGCGAAAACGTAGTCGCGAGGCATGGTAGCGGATCTAGACGATGCTATATTAGCCAGTAGAAACTGAGTCGAGTGGATGTCTTCATCTACGCCACGCTTTGCACTGCGTAGATTGACAACGGTCCCGCCATGAACATAAGCTTTCATGAACTCGACTACGGCAGATTTGCCCTGAGAGCCGGAGAAAGAGTGGGATAGACCCAGAAGAGCTTGCGCGAGAGTCCCGCATTTATCAATAGCGTCGCTGGGCTGTCCTCGCACTGCGAGCGTCTTGGGTTGGTCTGAGCTTTGGTCAACCACCAGTAACAACCAGAATGCTGTGACATACTGTCGCTTCCAACCACAAATTCGATCGTATGAGAGAGCAAGCACTCCTGCAGTGTCCACAGTCTCTGAAGGTAGGACTCGGCACAGAGATAGACATCATGCTCGTGGCTATGATCAAGCCATCTTCCGGCGAACTCGTCAAAGTCTTCGAACCCAGCAACAGCAGCGATGCAGCAGTCATACAATCCATCGCATTCTCTGACTGCAACGGTCTTTCTTGCCATCCTGAAGATATCGGGAATGGCATCCACGATTTCCGAGACTTCAGCTGGATTTCGCTGATCGACAGTCAACGTGTCCATCCAAAAGGCATCGTCACCCACCAAGGTGGGGAGATCGTTTGCGATAAACCGTGCTTTCTCTTCTGATGCTTTCACCTCGTACGGTATAGGTATGCCTTCAATGGAACACCAGGCCCACTCGCCCCAGACGTGCGAGAAAGCGATGTAATCAGTAGATTCTATCGGCGCCTGGAAAAGCTCTAATGTCGCGTTCTTGAAGCGCGCAAATTTGATCGTGGGGGAACCAGTAACGCATTCTGGAACTGTAGGCTCTCCGCTTGTGTTGTGTCGGGCTATGTCTGACTCAAGTGCCCTCGTTGTCCCGTGACCAGAAGCCATGATATGGGATTTATACCGAGAACAAAAGTCAAGAGCGGACGCTATGGACTTGGAGGTGGCGGACGCTGGTTTTATCTGGGGTGTTGGATCGCAAGGCTGGAGATTAGACGCCCCCGCGCCAGTAGCTGTGGCTGAGCAACCTGTCGCATCACCTTACGACCTATAGCGTCAGCCCAGCCTTTTATCCGGATGCTCGCACTCGCTGGACGACGCGGCCAATGGCAGAAGGCGCTGTTTGACGCGTATCAGACAAAGATCGTATGCCTTTCCAATGCATGAAGGCCACAACATGGACTATTTGTTGGTACGAGCAACACGCACTTTGCTGATCGCAGCCTGCATACAAAGCCCGTTTTACGGAATACATGTAACCCTTACACACCCTCCGTCTGGTGGCTGGTTTGGCCCCCCAACGTGATGCCTGACTAGTGAGCGGATGTCACAACTGTCGTTCGTGAATCTATTAAGATGACAAACGACAACTGTGACATCCATCCACTCCACAGGCATCATGTTGAGGACCAAATGAACTATCTACACGGTGTAGACTTGGTATCTACAAGGATCAGGTCCTTTCGAAGGTCGGCTCGTGGGGTTACGGGAGGATTTGGCCATCGAAAAGCTGAGACGGGTGTTGTGGAGTCTCAGCGACAGTATGCTCTGGGTGGGAGCGCTTTCGGTGTGAATGAAAACCATGAGTGCGAGAGACCGTGATTTGCCTGGGTATTGTTCTTTGGAACGAAGATGGAGGCACTCTTGCGATGAGCGCGCTCAATCACAACATGGGCACATCGGTGACCAAGCCCTCCGCCGACTCCGATTCTGCGTCTTAGTCTGAGTACGCTTCTGAGTCCGCTCAAGCTGTCGAATAGCGGCCCCCAATTAGGTTTTGTCCTTGGGAATACTCGTTTGGGTTTTGAGCCACCAGATGTACTGAGAGGGTACTTCCGCCACAGTCTTTCCTTCATGCTTGCCGAACGTAAATCTGTATTCTCCCTTGCGCGGAGTCCCGATGGGTGGGTGGTGGCGTTCGTACTCTGCAACTCCTGCGGCCAGTGTCTCGTTTGTCTCGGTGAAACCCTTGCTCTTCAGGAAGGCCATGTAGTCGGGAGGGACTTCGGCGATGGTTTTGCCTTCGTGCTTGCCGAAGTCGAAACGGTATGGTTGTTTGCGGGGTGGAGGTTGAGAGGAGGGAGGCTGCGGTGCAGGTTGCGAGGCAGAGAGTTGCGGTGCGGGAGGTTGCGAACTATTCGGCATGTCGTCCTTGCAGAGGGAGTAATGGCTAGGCGCAGTAGAAGGTGGCGGCTGAGTCTGCTGCGACTGACTTGCCATGGAAATCTGGCTAGATGCAGGCGGTTCAGATGATGGCGGTGGTAGAGTCTGCGATGAAGTCTGACTCGGCGCCATAGGCTCCATAGCGACTGGAGGCAGATCCTTCTGCATCAAGCCGAGCGCTTCAGCCAAACCAGGCAAAGTAGCTAACTTATCTTCGCTCGCACCCAGATAGTAGAGGTAGTCCTCTGGAACCTCGAGCAGAGTCTTGCCTTTGTATTCGCCGAAAGGAAGGACGTATAGAGGTGCATCAGGCGATTTCTGAGGTGCCGTGGGCTGTGACGAAGGAGGTGGTTGCTGTGCGACCAGCCCTGGCGACGGCGAACGAGATGGCGATGGAGGATTTGTGTATCTAGAGACATGCGAGCTCGATAGCACAGGTTGTGACGACGGAGGAGGAGCCTGGTAGACTTGAGACGACGGTGTAGCTTGTGTCTGCGACGACATCGACATCTGCGACGCTTGCGATTGCGGTTGCGACGATGCCGTGCGCCTCCCCGCCTTCTCATCTTCCCATTCTTTCAGCGCATCCGTGAACTCAACCGGCCTACTCGGTATGGGATTCCTAATCAACCACCTCACATAGGAGTCTGGTATCTCCGCAAGCGTCTTGCCCTCGTGTTTTCCAAACGTCATGCGATATGGCTCGTCATCGAACGAGGGCGGCGGCGTTGAGCCATCTCGAACCCACCACTGCTGTGATGAAGCTGGGAGCTGGGGAGCTTTCACGGGCGATCCGTTGTACGATGACGGCGGCGTTGAAGCAGCTTGGTGCCATTGTTGAAGAGTAATTCCATCGGATTTATCGTGGGATGACGGCGGCGTAGGAGCTGTATTGGTATGAAGTGGCTTTAGCGCAGGTCGTGGGATTTGCGCGGATGAAGGGGGAGCTTGCTGCGACGAAACAATCTCATCGACGACGTCTGCGACGTCGGAGTCAATGTCTGATCCGTAGTCGGATGACATTGTGCGCATGCGATATCTAGATTAAGAAAATAACTGGGTGTAGTACGATCGTTCGGATGGGTGGGTTGGTGGGTTGGTGGACTGATGACGTTGGGCTGCAGCAGCAAACGTGTGGGCAGGTGGAGTTTCGGGATGACGGAAGGAGCTTCAACGGTTCAGGGTGGTGCACGGATACACAACTGGTTTAGATCCCGCTGCCACTCAAAATTTAGCAACACGATGTTTAGGAACAAAATCTTTTTATTAACATAATTTCGAAAACATTAATTCCAGGCCTCTCTGTATAGAAACAATGTCCTCCGCAGTTCACCCAAACGCCCTTCCCCTACCCCAATTCACTCCCGATTCACTCTCTTCATACCGGCGCCCGTTCACACTCCCTAACCTCTCAAGCCACAGCGACCTTCTCCGTCTGACTAATAATGTACCACGCGTGAATGACACCAGGGATCCAGCCGAGGATGCAGAGCGCGATGTTGATGAAGAGATCAGCGGCGCAACCACGCCTCATGGCGACGGGGAGGAAGGGGATCCATATTGCGAGGAAGTAGAGGAGGACTGTTGACTGTATTGAGAGTTCAGTAGGGGGAAGGGAGAGAGGGATGAAGAAGGGGAAGGGGATGGGGATGGGGATGGGGAGACTGACTGTGCTTGATGGCATCGTGTGTGTGTGATTGATCCGCGTTGATGTGGTAGGTTATCGTGCTTCTTTCTCGTGAAGATACTCTCGTGGTTGTCGTAGGTTTGGAGACTGAAGGTGTGGCTGTTCTGTGGCTGAACAAAAAAGTGGGCGAACCCTTCCAAGCTTATATCTTTATGTATTCCCCTGCCACCAACTCAAAGCAGCTTACGACGCAGACAAGGACCGAATGCAGGGCGCCAGTGCCTTTCTCATTCATGCCATTGGTCTACAAGGCCGCAACAACCGCTTACCAAGATTTTCTTCCTGGAGTGGCCAGCGAATGAGACAGCCATGCGCCACAGTGACGATGCATGCTGTGGCGCAGGTATCAGTAAGAAGGCCGTGCGTTGTGGTGTTGAGGCTAGACTGGGTGACAGGCTTCCGAAAAGTGCCGGTAGCCGTGCTAGCCGCGTATGCAGGGGAGGGTAGTCTTGCTGTTCGATCGCGATACTCAACCGTGGATATTGCGACAATTTGTTAGGACGGGTTCCACCTCTTTATGCATGCTGTCTACATGTGAAGCGCAGTGAAAGAAACTCGGTGGCCGAACAAAGTAATAGGGGTAGGAAGTTCCTGACTAGACGAACAGTTCGCGATGTTACTGTAACGGTGTTGGGAACATGTCAAGGTTACGCTTAAGACTCTGTTGTAACGGTGTGTATGATGACATAGCCACTTGACATACGACTGTTGACCCCGATGCGCATCAATTTGAAGACGACACAGCGGCGTATATAAGAAGGCGAGCTATTAGTGGTTAAGTAGCAACATCAATACTTCGGCGTTGTGCTGGTGTAGAGAGGAGAATAATGAGTCTTGAACGTAGTGCTCGAGATCTTAGATAGCAGCTTATGTTACAACTAACGTATTAGACTTGTTAACTTATGCGAATTGGACAATTTTACAAGACTGGAGACATTCACGATAGTGTGTTTTGTGTTAGTTTTGTACTTTGGTGATGTGTGTAACAGGACGCATCAAGTATGTCTTTAAACGGATTTTGACGTCCAATATACCATAATCCCATTAGGTACGACTATGTAAGCTGTCTTTAGCCCAAACGAACAGTCCTTCTTTCCTTCAAGCGAAAACAAAGCGGACGAGGTTTTATAGGAACAGACAGGCCCTGGTCTGCGGGTAATTCGCTAGATTCATATCTTATCACCATATGTCCAACTCGTTCGTAATGATCCTCTTTCTCATGAACGATCATGACAAAGGTATCATTAACATCAAGGAAACCATCGGATGGGAGAACTTCGCATCTGCCTAACACGATACCTAACAGACTACCTTGTTGAAAATTTGGCGCGTAGCTGTGCTGTGTAGCAGAGTCTTTGGCGTACTGCTGGTACAAGGAAACCATGGGAATTCGGAGAGTTGTCTCATCGTCATGGAATGCAGCAACATACCCGGAGTAATACCTAGTCCATCGATATGCTTCGCACATAAGGATCCAGTGATTCGTTTCGTCGGGAGAGTACTGAATATCGATGGGTATTGTCCATGCTTCGATGTGGATAAATCTGTTGGAGGACCCAGGTATGCCCACATCTAAAGACGCATCGCTTTGCTCATCCATGTCTGAAAGTGATCCATCATGGTTTTCTACGAATACCTTTAATGGTCTTTCGTTTTCAAGATTCAGCCCTCTCCAACATGGTTCAGTTTCGTAATTGATCGGCAAATTCCATCCAGCCCAACTCCACGTAGGAAACATGGAACGCCTCCTACCTGATGCTGTGTTGCACCAGGAGAGTCCGGCAGCGAAAGCCTCGCTTCTACTAAACTTTGGATGGTACCAATTTCCCTTCCACCCTTCAGGCTCTGATGGCATCATGGGAATACCCAAGTACTGATGGACGGGAAACTTCTTTTTCCTGAAGCTATGGAACACTCCCTCAAATGCGCGTATAGCATCAGAGTCGACAGATAGCTCTCTCCCACAGAAATCCGTCAGACGAGAGCAGATCTTCCAGGGACTATACTCTTCGTAGTCGTTGTGATAGTCGAAGACTCCTGGATTCTCAGCGCTGAGACCTTGGTCCGGCTTGATAGCAAGTATCTCAAAAGAAAGGCCAGCTCGACACTCACAGTACACTTGTTGCTCTGTAAAAACGATGCGTCGGGGTGAAAAAAAGCTTTCTTGATAGGTCCATGCTCGACGCATCCATTTAGAGGCCCTGATGAGCGTCCGCGGGTCTGGCAGAGTTGATACAAGACATATACCTCCAATCCAGGCACTTGGTTGAGGAGTTCTCGGGGTAGCGCTAACGCCAGGTAGGCCGAAGTGTGGATCAGTGCCTGCTGCAGCGACTATAGTCACGTACGCGTTTTGATATATGAGATCCATTTGCTGTATCTGGATTTGTCGCTCAGCATCATTGTCTTGGTCGATGCAATATCTGTCGATCCAAATATATCGAAGACCCAGCGATTTGCTGACTTTCAAGGCATCTTCGATAGTGCGTGGTAGGATTGTGGGAAGTTCGCCGTGAACACACCGATCTTCGCCAGGTCTGCTCGTACCCCACACATAACTGAGTGCAGAATACTCGTACATCGGTAATGCCGGTACGATCCGTCGCTGCTCGCAGTCGATCAACCTCAGCTCTTTTAGACTCGAACTCGATGATTCAACCTGGGTGCACTTCTTTGTATGATATGGACTTGTGCCACAATTCCTGATCCAATCTCGAATATTGTCGAAGTCGATAGAAATTGCATCGATAGATCGCGCTATCAGTGCATGGCGCAGAAATGTTTTTGATGCGCTTGATGGTGCAATGAAGCCGCCCGTGGCTGAATCCCCAAACGTTTCTGTCATCATGTAATTCCCGTAGTCAACAGGGGATCCAAGGTTATCTCGAGCTACAGCCAGCAAGTTTCCATCTCCAAAGTCGTAGGAAAGAGGAGGCCCTATGCAGTACAGAGCGTAGTCCTTGATTTCAGGGCTACCTTGTTTCCTCATCGCATGGAAAAGGCGACATAGTGAGCATGACGAAAGCTCAGCTTCTACTCCGAGCTCTCCGAGAAACATCAATCTTTTCCACCATGATCTTCCCAGTTCAACGAAAAGGCTCTCAACGTCAATGGAAGAACATCGGGAACAAAGGTTACTCGATTCTTGACACACTGTTTTGTCACGTGTGCTGGGTGTGGCTCCATGGCTTAGATAGGCGACGACCAACCGTTCTAGCTCTTTAGAAAACCACTCAGATGCATACAGATCTTGTGCTCGCTCCATCTCGTGGTGGGACACTCGGGGGACGATTGGGACGGACGATGACCGGAAGGTGGCACCTGTCTCGTTAACTTCGCGGCCTCGGTGTTGCGACGCACTGAAACTGTGGAATAGACTTACCTGCTGTCCATTCCCTTGCTTGATCCGCTATTGCCAGTGATGGGAGGGGGATGGTGAGAGGTGCGGGGCAGAAGTGCTCTCAAGGCTGCTGCCTGCTGAATACCTCCAGGGCTGCGCCTGCCAGCTGACAAGCGAAGTTTAAGTAAGCACATGCACGCTGCAGTCAGTGGCTTGCTTAGGCAACTGCTGTGATTACTACGATTACTTCTACAATCATTCCTACATCTCATATTCTTACAATGAGCTGTCTACATATCAACTGCAGTCCAGCAAACAGCTCATCAGACACTGTGGCAAGAATAGCGTGGGTTTGCAAAGTCGCACTTGCTGGTTGAGCTACTTTTTCTAGATGGGCAGTCGCAAAGTCGTCGACACTGGATTCAACCTGCCCAGGACGTACTACCAGTGGTTCCAAGAGGTACCTCCCACTCAACCAGAGTATATACCCGAGTTTGAAGGTGGCTGGTTCCACACTTGCTACGTGAGCTTCTTTGTTCAAACGGGCAGTCGCGAAGTCGCACTTGCTAGATGAGCAACTTGACTAAACGGGCAGTCGCAATACTTTCGGGAACCAGTCATAAAAGACGCGACAGCAGCACATCGGACCCTTCAACAGCGAAGTATGCAACGGGATACGCATGCGACACAAGTCTATCGAGTCGAGGCTGACAATACGGTGAGTGCATCGATACAAACTCTAGCCGGTCAGGTAGCAACATCGAAACTTCCAAACTTCGGCGACGATGACGTAGATAACCAGATGTGGACGGTGAGGCTCTGTTGTTACAAAGCATAACAAGGATGAACGCTGTACCATAGGAAATGACAACGGGGACTAAAAAAGACACGATGAGCGGTGTGGGTGGTTGGTGGGTGAGAAGCGGTGACGAACTTTACAAACATTAGGCATACAGGCAGTGGTGAACAGGGATATCTCGGCTTCGAATTTCTGAT